TGAAGGCGGTATTGCAGGATAAGCCATGGGCACGTCATTCTGTTGAGGGAATTGGGGAGTGGTGAGAGGTAGGGGGGAGTAGGAAGATGGGGGACCTGGGAGGTGGAGGGCTTTCCACTCTCCTTGCGTCTATGTGAGCTCCTTGGAAGCTTACATTATCTGGGTTTTCTGGGTGCCACATGCCCTGGCTGTGGGGTCCAGACAGCCCTCAGGATCTGGGGCCTGGCTCCCCCAAGGCAGACGCTGTCCTCCTTGCTGGCTCCCACAACCTGCAATGTTTGTTTTCCAAACTGTCTCCTAATCCTCTTAATCTTTTTACATCTCACCTGCCTGCATGCCTGGTGGCTTCCATTAGCACCTCTCCAGCTCTATCTGCACGATCTGCACGTTGGGAACTTCTCCCAGAGTCGCTCCACCTGGCCCCTTGCAGGCTTGGCTGCTTCCCCCTGGGCAGCCAGGATGCTGGGCTCCAGCTGTGGCCAGCCAGTGGGAAGCTTGTTTTCTTCCTATTTTTCTTCTCTCTCCCTCTCCCCAAAATTGCTTTTGCCGTATTTGGTCTTCCTTTTACATTTCCCCCCAAAACTTCTCAACTAGTCACTATGCACAGGCCCCCTGATCGGCAGGTGGGATTTTCGCTAAGTACCTGCCACGCGCCAGGTTCAAGTCACAGTGATCCCAGTCCGAGGGGTCATTGCCATTCCCGGACACAGGAGTTCTTTCGTGCAAGAGTACACACACAGCAAAAGGGAGGCAGATGCTGAATTTGAACACACACTGCCTCCATCTCCACAACAAATTATTTGTTGTTTTACAATCCCCTCCATTTTTCATAAAACAATTCCCCAAAGCTCTTTTATCTGCCAAAAAAGGCAGAGAATAAAGACCGTACACTGATGACATGTGGCAGTTTCTGACAGCTCCCTCCCCAATTCCCAAACACCTCCCCCCCTCAAAAAAAAACCCTGATCTTAGGGCGGTGGGAAGGAGAATAGAAGGAGAGATCCAGGATGCCCTGGAGGAGGGGGAGGATTTAGGAAGAAAGACAAGATTAAGACAATCTCCACAATAAAGAGTTGGGAGAACGAAGGAAAAATAAAAGTGGATCCGGCAGAGGGACCAAGAGGTTTGTGTTTTTGAGGGAGAGGGAGTTGAAGAGGGAGATATGGGGCAGTGGATGGGAGAGGAAGGGGTATCCCGGTAAACTCCATGCCTCCTTCCTGGTGTTCAAACAGTCCAGCGGGGATTTGAGCATGTCGGTTCACAACGTGATGCAGGGAGGAGGCTTGGACAAGGATGTTCTTAGCAGCTTTTTTCGTCATAACTGAAAATATCCACAAACGGGGGAAAGGCTGCACAAAGTGCACTGCGGGCATACAGTGGAGTACCACTCAGTAACACCGAGCCCACACAAGCAGTAACACGGCTGAATCTCGAAGTGCGTGGAATGAAAGAAGCCAGGCACGAAAGTAACCCATGGTGAGAGAAGTCAGAATACTGGTCACTTTGCGGGTAGTCAGGGGTACAGTCGTCCCTCAGTATCTGCAGGGGATTGATTCCTGGACAGCTGCCCACTCCCCACGGATATCAAAAATCCAGGAATGCTCCAGTCCTTTCTATAAAACAGCGCAGTATTGGCATATAACCTACCCACATTCTCCCGTATACTTTAAATCCTCTCTAGATTACTTATAATACCAAACACAATGTAAATGATATGTAAATAGTTGTAAATACAATGTAAATGATATGTAAATAGTAGCCAGTGTGCGGCAAATTCAAGTTTTGCTTTGTGGGAACTCCTGGTTAATTTTTTTTAGTATTTTTGATCCGCAGTTGGTTGAATCCGTGGATGCAGAACCCATGGACATTGAGGGCTGACTGTACTACAAAGGGCGTGAGGCAGCTTGCTGGGGTGATGAAAATGTTTTGTAATCGTGATCTGAGTGGCGGTAAAGGGTGTCTTCATTTACATGAAAAGCCATTGAACAGGGCACTTAAGATTTGTGTATTTTGCTGCACGTAAATTATGCCTCAATTTTTTTAATTATAAAAAAGAAACGCAAGAACTTCAGAGTTACACTGTATACACATTTGACTATCTGCATTTTGCCTAATAAGTTTCAGAGAGAGAAAGAGCTAAAGATACCAATTAAAATAAGGTAGAGGATGCTGCCCGTCACTCCAGACCCTCAAAGAGCCTTTTCTGGAGCGTGGAACTTTTGTCCCCACGTCTGCCTCAGATCCTATGAGCCTCTTGTGGTCTAAACTCCTCCCCCTGAGTACAACTCCAACCTTTAAAGAATCAATCATTTTTTTCTTTTTTCAGAAAAGGGGGTATACATTAGCTAACTGACACTCAGCCGTAATAACAAGAAATCTGTTCTAACATCAAAGCTGAGTGACAGCATAGAACTATGGAGAAATGGTATGATATGGTCTCCAACGTGGCACTTTCCAAAGAATTTTTTCCAGCGGTGATATTGACCATTTACAATCATTGCCTTCTATGCTGATTTTGGAACCCAACCCTTGAGTAAAACATGACTGCACCATAAAGAATTTGAGTAAATTTAGAGATGATTTTTTCTGGTTACTCCTTAGACCCCTGACTATACTCTGAGTCAAGGCTCGTGGATCATGACCTCACAAGCCTGGCGGAGGGTTTCCTCTCATCCCTGCGTCTCCTGCCTACCCTCCAGGAGCTTGAGCTCTGGAGAAGAGGAAGAAAACGCCATCCCCTCTGACGAAGGTGTCCCTGTTGGGACATTCACAAGGCTACTGCCAACCCATTACTTCTCACACTAATGATACATGCTCATTACTATCGATGCCTTTTATTTCTTGGGAAGTGTTTATACTCTTGCAACAGCCTGATAAGTGAAATCATCCAACACCTGGAAATAAGGCAAATAGATAACTGGTGTCCTTCCAAATTCAAATTAGAGTAGTGTCTAACAAGCCCTCCTAAGAGCCAATCTGACACTCGAGGGAAATGTCACTTTGCTTGACTTATTATTTACTATTGATCAGGGCACAGGCTCTGTAAAGGTAGCTGTTAGCTGTTGGAAAACTGATAAGTTGCCACTCATTTTTGTCTAGTAGAGATGCAAATGACTTCTTTCCAATAGAGAAGATAACCCCAACATTATGATTTTATTGCCGAAACATTAACCAGTTTTGTATCTAACTTAGTAATCTTATGAATATTCCAGAATTCTTGTTTTTTTGGTTATTGGTTCTTTTTGTTTTTACTGAATCTTTCTCTCCATATATAGGTATATCTAAATATTTTTTTCACATCCTTCATTGAACTATCTCTGTTCCTTCATTTATAAGCTACCAAAAAAAATTAACGTGTACTCACTATGTATTTCTAAACAAATTGTGTATTTAATATTTTGAAAACTATACTTTGAGAAGCCTTTCACAGTATTTGGTTTTTCCTCATGCCAAATCTGCCACTCCCTGTGTGACCTTGGGCAAGTCTTTCTGTCTCTTTTTCTTTAGTTTCTTCATCTGTAAAATGGGAGCAATCAGGCTGACCATTGTGGCTCTGACATTGTATTTCTAACTCCTCCTGCAGAGAAGCAGGACTGACACATACCATCAAAGAAGATGATGCTGGAAGGGACGTTACAGACCAGCCTTCCTGCTTCCTACCACTCCTTCATCTTGAGAAAGTGAAGCTCAGAGAGGTTAGGTAACTTGCTCAAGGTCACACAGATATTATTCATAATAATGACTTATCTTAATGTGGTGTTTGACAGTACAAACTTCCTCATAAATTCATATAATCCCTCGGCAGCCCACTGAGGGGGCTATACCATCCCCATTTTACAGATAAAGAAACTGAGGTCCAGAGGAATGATGTGGCTTGTCCAAGATCATGCAGAGATTCTAGCTGCCCTAACCCTCTGAATCCTGGGGAGCAGGAGAGGGGCCGGCAGGAGGAGCTCTGAGCCCCCACCCTTAAACCAGAGCATCCTCACCTGTATACGTCATATATATATATATTGAACATCACACAAGATTGCAAAAGAAAAAGGAGTCCCAAAGTCTTGAAAACCCTGACCCTAAACCATCGTCCTCTGGCCAGGTTCATCAGCCCTCCCTCTTTTCCTCCCCCTTTTCCTCTCTCCCTCCCTCTGGCAAACTTCTCAGGAAAAAAACAAAACCGAACAAAAACAACAACAAAGCCACTGTCGCGGGAAGAAGCAGAAAGACATGGTCAGCCCAGGCCTGAACACACTGGTCTCCAGTCTGGGAAGACAGAGTTGCTCAATCTAAAGAAAAGCATCCTCAGGATCCAAGCTGGCAATGATGAAGTAAGCTGTGCTTACAGGTAGTGAGCACCCTGTCAGTGAGAGTAAGTAAGGCTAGATGATCCATCCAAACGTTAACAGCAATTCTTTAGATGGATTTTTGTCTCTGATCTTTAAATGTTAAGAAAAGCTAATTATTAAGCATCCACCATGTGCCCACTGTTTCCATGTCATTAAAGCTTTATAATAATCTGATGAGGTAGAACCTGTTGTTTCCAATTTATGACTAAAATAACTGAGGCCCCAGGAAGTTAAGTATCTTTCCAAGAGCACGCAGCTAGAAAGTGGCAGTTCTAGAAAGCTGATCACTGAGCCTCATTACTACAGCACTGTTCTGTCTTTGTGCTTTTCTATATTTCCAAGCTTTAGGCAATGAATACATGTTGCTTTCTCAATCGTGAAAGAGTCTTACAAGTTACTGATTTTTTTAAAATGGTTCCTTCCATCCTGGTTTGATGATTCTATGGGTCTCACAGCCCTGCCCAGTACCCTCTCCACCACCCCGATGTTTGCAGACTTGTTCGCAGACATTTTGAGCAGACCTCAGCAAGACTGGGAAATCGAACATTCTCCCCAGCCATAGCTGGTGTTGGGGCGGGGGCAGCAAGGCTGAAGGAGGAAGTCTGACGTCCCAGTCTTGCTGAGGTCTGCTCAAAATGTCCCTCGCTGGCCTCTGGCCGCTGGGGCAATGCTAGGGGGCAGTTCCAGAGAATAAAGAGAAGTGGGAAGGGATGTGAAACTTGGCCATGGGACAGCACCGCCTCTGCTGGGTGTCCCACAGGGGTCCCTGGGAGAAGGACAGGAGTATCCAGTCGTGTTGACGACCAGAGGCAGGTGAGGTCAGTGCCTGAGACGGAGGGGGCTGTGAAGTTCAGGGAACCAGGGGAGCTGGCCCAGGAGGCCAGACCAGGCAGGGAGGGAGAGAGAGTGCAGAGAGCTAGTTCTGTGCCAGGACAGGGTTGGGGCGGGGGGACTGATTCAGGACCCAGAATGAGTGAGTCGGAGTACGTTAACTCCATGGGCTTGGGGGAAGGTAGGTGGTGATGACACAGACCCAGGAGCTCTAACCAGAGTTCCTAGGTCTGGCTCCCCAAAACACAAGAAGTGGGAAAACGTTGGCGGTGTCAGAACCCAGCAGAGGGGTCCCATAGAGGGGGCAGTGGGTGACAGGCAACCACCTGTCCTCCTGTGGGTGTTGAAAGGGGCCGAGTGTGTTGATAGGGAGCAGACGTGTATGTCAGGTGTTTGTGAAGTCCAGTGTGTATGCGCTGCTCTGCCATCTGGGTGAGAGAGTGTTAATTAAACAGAGCAGGCACTCAATAAATATTTGTTCAATGGAATTGATTGTCTGTAGGAGTACATGACTGTGTGTGTCCAGGTGAGTGAGGGATGGAGTGCGTCTACGTGAGTGTCAGTGTGTGTGTCTGGGACGTGTCGTGGATTTTTGAGCTTGCTTACTGTGTTGTGTAGGTGTGTGACTCACAGCTTCTGACTCGGAGTGTGTAACTATATGGGTGTGCTCAGTTGCATGTGTGAATCTGTGTGAGTTTGTGGTTCTGTGTGCATGTGTGGTTCTGTGTGTTGCAGTAGGGGAGGATATGTCTATACCATTGTGGGGGGATTCAAGTGTGTGAGTTGGGTGTGCATGAGTGTGTGATGTCCAGCCTGCCCAGGCCCTGCTCGTGTCTCCACAGTGGCATCATGGAAGCCCCCTGGGGCTGGCTGGTGATCGGTGTGCTGGCCTTGTCCCTGGCCTCTTCAGTGACGGAGGACGTGTGCCGAGCAGAGAACGGAAAGGATGGGGCCAAAGGAATACCCGGCCGCCCTGGGCAGCCAGGCCTCAAGGGGGAGCAAGGGGAGCCGGGTAAGCCTTCCCTCTGGACCCCAGCCCCTTATCCCTGGGCCTGGCCTGGCCTCCAGGGGGGAGGCTCGGGGTGGCACTGACAAACAGGAATCCACCTAGGCCCCCACACGAAGCCCCTCCAGTCTGTGCTTGGTCCCAGGGGCTGAGGCAGGCTAGCCTTCTCCCAGGGCCATGTCCCCAGGCCCCAGGGCCTCTCTGTACCCCCTCCCCCTTACTGCCTGGGTCCTCTTCCTTTGGCCTCACCTTCCTCCTCTGGAGAGTGGGTCACTGCAAGCAATGAATATGAAAGGTCCTGAAGCTGAGCCCAGTCCTTGGTCTTTGTTCAGTTACCAGAAAGATGAATGCCCTAGGCTTTAGACTCAGGAGCCGTTGTCTTGCTGTGTGACCTTGAGCGAATTCCTGACCCTCCCTGAGACTCAAACTCCTCATCTGTAAAATGGAGAAATGACCCCACCTGGCACATAGAGAGGGATCAATTAATAGCAAGTATCCATCTTTTTTGCTGCCAGCTCCCCAACCCCAACTCTGTCCCTGCTTCCCCATTCCTAGTCCCTTCAGGCTTCAGAAACTCTCTCACGTTCTAGAAAAAAAGGCTGGGGGTGAAGGAAAAGGGAGGAGGGCATGACCAGAGGAGCAAAGGAAAGGAAAGTCTCATGTAATCTCCCTGAGCCTCCCAGGCCAGAGCAGAGCAAAAAGGTCTGCATAGACATTTGCAACAATCCTTCCCCAGACTTCTGACCTGTGCTCCCTGAAGCTGAAGAAGTCAAGGTCAGTGGCCTGGCAGGGCGTGGAGTGCATGGCTGTGGGCAGGAGCACCACGGAGAGCCCATGTCCTACTTTTCCCAGAAGTGCCAGTCCACATTTCTGTCCATTAAACAGATAAAGAAGCTAAGGCTCAGAGAGGTTGAGACACTTGCCTGGGGTCACACACAGCCAGTCAGAATCAACGTCTTGATGGCCCAGGCACTCCCCTGTCCTCTATCCCACAGCCGCCCAGGGCCCCAGCCACCTCCTGGAGGACGGCAGGACACTAGACGATCACTCCCAATCTGGCCTTTCCCCCCACAGGGGCCCCTGGCATCTCGACTGGCATCCGTGGCCTTAAAGGAGACCAGGGAGATCCTGGGCCACCTGGAAATCCTGGCAGAATGGGCTATACAGGGCCCAGTGGCCCCATAGGGCCCCCTGGCATCCAAGGGTTGAAGGGCATCAAGGGCAGCCAGGGAGACATCAAGCACCAGCCGCGGCCGGCCTTCTCGGCCGTGAGACGGAACCCTCCGATGCGCGGCAATGTGGTCGTCTTCGACACGGTCATCACCAACGAGGAGAACCCGTACCAGAGCCACTCGGGCGAGTTCATCTGCTCCGTGCCGGGCTACTACTACTTCACCTTCCAGGTGGTGTCTAAGTGGGACATCTGCCTGTCCATCGTGTCCTCTGGGAGGGGCCAGGCCCAGCAATCCCTGGGCTTCTGTGACTCCAACAGCAAGGGACTCTTCCAGGTGGTGTCTGGGGGCACCGTGCTCCGACTACAGCAGGGAGACCGGGTCTGGGTTGAAAAAGACCCTGTTAAGGGCCGCATTTACCAGGGTTCAGAGGCGGACAGCGTCTTCAGTGGCTTCCTCATCTTCCCGTCCACCTGAGCCTGGGAAGGACCCCTCCCCACCGTGACTCTGCTTCCTGCTGTGTGACCCTGGCCCACTCACTCCACCTCTCTGGTGTCTGTGCTCTGCTCTGTAAAGCGGGGGTGCTGTTGCTTTAGCTGCCTGAAGGAAGGTCATTTCTTAGAACTCTTTCTGGAATAAATACCTGAGTCCATGTCCGCTGAGCTTGAAGTTCAGTTGCTACCCTGGGCATTGGGAGGGAGGCTTAAGAATGACACCAGTTATTGAGTGCTTGCTTACAAGGCTGGTCTGTATTTAGTGTTTCATAATGCGTATTTCACAGGTCCTGGGAGCCTCATCGGCCTGGGTTCAAATCCTGGGCCACTATTTACTAGTAGTCCAATTATGTACATTTTATATTATTTCAGTGAACCTCAGTTTCCTTATCTGTAATGTGGGGATGCTGGTGGCATCCACCTCAAAGGGTTGTTTGGAGGATTAAATGACATAATATATGAAAATTGCAGAGGAGTGCCTGGTGCGTAGTAAGGACTATATAAATTTTAGATATAATTATATTTCATTTAATCCTTACAGTTGAGTTCTGAAGTGGGTATTATGACCCTGTTTTACAGATGATGAAACTGAGGCTAGGGGTTGGGGCAAACTTAAAGCCCAAGGTCAGAGTGTAAGGGGAGGAACTGGGATTTGACTCCAAGTGTTACTGATGCCCAAGCCTGTGTGTTTACCTGCTTCCCTCGCCAGCCTCCGCAGCCACATGCCCAGCAAGTGACACATTTCCAACTCTGAACCAGAAAGGCAGGGGCAGGCTCAGCAATTGGTCCAAGGGCTTCTGGAAGTCCTCCCCAAGCGAAGTTTCCTAAGTCCAGCTCTGCACATCTACCGTGGCAGGCATGGAGACTGGGGCTGCTGCCTGCTGGGCATCCCGCCTGGACTGGGGATTGGGAGGACCTGGAATGTTTGGGGTGCATTCCCATGGAGCTTGTCTGGGCGCTGCTCAGAAGCAAGAAGCCCCACTATGTTCTTTGTAAGTGAGGAAAATAAGGAGACTAGAAGTTTAGTCCTGAAAATGTCCAATGCCCTGTGCATTTTCCCAAAGGAAGCCAGTTTCACCCTTGTGCTGCATACTTGCACGTATACACACACACAAACATACACATCACACTCACATGCACACCTCCCGAGATGCACGTGGACCCATGTTCCTGGACCAAGACTCTCTACTCCTCACCCACAAGCCCTCTCCCTGAGACCCTCCGGGCACAGCCCTGAACACACGCCTCCAAACCCAGACATACTCAGGCATGTATGTGTGTCATACCTATGCACCCCCCAACCCCCACCTCAGACACCCAGGTGCCTCCATCAGCCATCAGAAGTGCTGTTGCACACACGTGTCCCAGACACAACCCTGACACACAGCTGTACATGCTCTCCTCTCCCTCTGACATGGGTGTGCCTTAGAAACGCCCGTGTTCTCTCCCACATTGACCTCGGAGTCCTCACACGCCCACAACCCCCACCCCAGGCTCCCACACACACTCAAGACCCTCTCCTGGGGCTGCCTGTCCCGGCCCCAACCCCAGCCTCCGGGGGTCAGGAAGAAAGGAGAGAGGTCCTGCAGCTCCAGGGCAGTGCTGGACTCCTCCAGCCCCTCGGCCCCCTGTGTGTCTCCTCTCTGCCCCAGCTCTCCCATGGCCCATCCAGAACACACATCCACGGACTGGGAAGAGAAATGGATCTGTGAGCACCTACTGTGTGCTGGACATTTCATAACCATCAATGCATTTAATCCCAGCAAAATTGATGAGGACACAGAGGCTTGGAGAAGGGAGACAACTACCCAAGGTCACATTGCCAGAAAGTGGCAGGGCTTGAACTTGAACTAGGTCTGCCTGACCCCAAAGCAGAGGGCTCCATTCATTGCAACAGGTCTCAAAGACTGTCAGGGGTGGAGGCCCCATAAGTGGCGGGAGAGGCCAGGTTCTAGATATGGTGGATGCGGGGCATGCCCCCCTGCTTCTTACCCTAAATTCCACCCATACCCATCCTTCTTGGCCAAGGCAAATCACTGGCCCCTCTGAGAGAAGGGAACGAAACCAGAACCAGGCTGCCCAAGCGGGTGGGGCAGGGGAAGGCTGAGTGCAGGCTGAGGCTGCCACCTGCTGGACAAGCCAGACCCAGGCACGAATGAGGTGAGGACGGAAGACGGGAGCCCTCAGTGCCATCTGGCTGGTCCCCCAACCCCCATAATGCTGTGTCTGTCATTTCTGCTCTTCCCAGCTCTCCACCCACCCGGGAAATTCCAGGGTCAAGTGCATTCATATTCTTGATCTTGTCCCACACGCTGCAGCCCTGTGCCACAGGGTGGAGGGACAGCTGGGGAGACTGAGGCCCTGAGGGTCACACTGCAAGGCAAGGGTGGGGCTCTAAACCCTTGCTCACAGCCCGCACAGATATGCGTTAGCACTGCCCTGCACAGAAACTACCAGAAACCCTCATTTGCAGAGGAGAAATCGACACTCAGGGAGGTCAAAGCACTCACTCCTATGGGTGGCAGGAGTGCATTCAGGGTTGGAATCCTCCACTGCCCATCAGTTCCTCCCTCCCCGGAATCTTCCATGAGGTGAAGAGAGTAGGGGGCCTCTCTCAGCTCTGCCAGCCTGGCTGCGACTGGCAACCCACAATCAGCCTTAATAAGCTCCAAGACCAGAGGCGGGGATGCCAGGGAGGTGAGGGAGGTGGTACTGGCAGAGAAGGTGGAAGCATCAGGGGCCCCAGCAAAGGAAGAGGCACCAACATGCAAACCCTGGGCCTCATCCACCACCCAATATACAGATAAGAAGACTGAGGTCTAGGGGCCAGTGGTTTGCTGAAGGCCTTGGAGCAAGGGAGTGACAGGGCTGGAAGGAGACCCCAAGGCTACTGACTTTGTAGCCAGAGGAATCCGTCCACCACAGCAGGCTTCCTGCCATCAAAGCTTGCCCTTGGTGTCCAACCCCGAGTATAGCAAAAGGGAGAGGGCATATGGAAGTTTCTAGAGTAAGACCTGCCACTTGACAAGTGTATATGAGACTTGTTTCTGGGGGCAGCTAAGCAGAGGGTCTGAGCAAGGCCTTGGACTCAAGAAACCACTCACTATGTGACTCTGAGCAAGGGTTTTCCCCTCTCTGAGCCTCAGTTTCCTCACCTGTGAAGGAGAGGGGTTATAACCTCCCCCTAGGGATCTTGTGAAACAGCTGAGTCTCAGGCCCAGTAAACACCAACAAACAGGGATGGGCGTTAGATGGGCTGACCTTTACTTTGGGGAAGTCCGGCAGGCACTGGTGTTCACACACACACACACACACAACCTTCATCAGATCCAGGACAGTGGACGTTTCCTCATTTCAGACACTCATGACCTGGAAGTGGGGGGACACAGGGGTGTCACTGTGGTCAGCCTGGCTCAGCACCCAAAAGAAAGTACTGAGTCAGGAAAAATTATGGGAAAGGGGATGTGGTATTGTGGGGGAGGAGGAGGGGAGGGGGCCGTCCAGTCTGCACTGGGCCCTCCTTGCTCTGTCCACTCTGACACGGTGTCCTCCAGCCTTGGCGAGGGGAAGCAGATCTGAGGACACCTCTGGGACCAGACCAGAAACCTCCCACCTGTCCAGGTGAGAGCAAATGGCAGTTTTACCCCCACCACTTTCCTGAAGCATGGCCCCAGGGACCATCTGATTTGTGAGAGGAAGGAGGGTGCCTATCTCTGCTGAACTGGGGGCCTGAGCTTGAGGAAGAGGCCCCACGCTCCATCTGTCATGCGGTCCCAAGGGGCGAGCGGCCTGGGGAAGGGAGGCAGGCTCCTAAGGACTGTGAAGGGTGGGCCCTGGGGAGAAAGAGGGTGAGGAGGGTGGGCAAGGGGCTTGGGGGCCACCTCAACTCTCTCATCATCTACCTCCTTCCGCAGATGGACATGGGGTCCAGCTCCTGGCCCCTCCTTGTACTAAACGTGCTGCTGCTTCTGCTGGCACTGCCACCTGGGGGCCAGGCCGCAGACTGCTATGGGATCCCGGGGATGCCGGGCCTGCCCGGGGCCCCAGGGAAGGATGGGTACGACGGACTGCCGGGGCCCAAGGGTGAACCAGGTGAGTCTGCTGGCCTGATGGGGGGGGGTCACCCAGGGCCTGGGGGCAGGGGTCCGAGTGTCCATCCGGGGCTGACCCGGGGAAAGGGAGACAGCAGCTTGACGGCAAAGAGCGTGATCCCTCCAGCCACGCCTGCTCCCAGGGCAGAGTCTTAACTCTTGTGTCGGTCTAGACCGTCTCCCCTAGAGCCCAGACCTCCAGCCTCCCCAGCTCACCTCTCTGCTCCTCAGAGAGCACAGATTCCTCCCCTGATAGTAGGGAGAGAGCAAGAGCACCTGCCAGAAGGTGGCAGAGAGGATCACCGGAGATGGTCCGGGTGAAAACCTTTGGCAAACTCTAAAACACTCTGCTACTGTTTTATTGCAACCCCTCCTCAACTTGCCCTGCAACATGGACCCCTGAGGGGAAGTGGGTGCCCAGCTGGCCAGGGTTCAAATCCCAGTCCCCACCACTTCTCACTGTATGAACTTGCACAAGTTATTTAACCTCCCTGTGCCTCAGTTTCCTCATCTGTAAAATGGAGAGATGGTAATACCTACTGCACAGAGGTGCTGTGATGATTCATGTGATCAAACCTAAAGCAGCACGAACACATGGTAGGTATCAGTAAGTGTGCGCTCTGGTTGTCACTGCTGTTGTCATCTTTGTTTTTGTCAGAGATCTGTGCTCACCCACCTCCCTGGGATTCTGGGTAGTTGGAGGGATGTGGGGCAAGAAGTCAGGATCACAGCCACAGAATCTTCTGTCGGAGAGTCATGGGCAAGAGGGCTGAGGACGTGAACAGGTGTGGTGCTGGGTGAGAGCTGGAGTCTGGGGCTGGCCTTGCCTGTGCGTAGGTGCACATCTGGGGGTGGAGTGTGTCCGGAGCGGCATGGGTAGGGCGGGGGTGGCAGAGGAAGTGGGTGCAGGAGGCCAGGGGAGAGGAATGTCCTTAGGAATTCCCCACTGTCATCTTCCCTCCTGGCAAGACAGTGGAATTGCACCAACATTCCAGACGGAATTCTCCAATTTGTGGTGAGCTGGATGAAGCCCCCAGGTCTATCATTTTTCAGGACCCTCTACTTCACAGC